CAAATCCTTCTGAAAAGCAAACTTATTCACTACTGGTCACCTGCTGTTGTATTCAGCTAGAATTATTTAAAATATTCAAGTGCTTTGAAAAGGGATGAGTATGGCATGTTCATTGACCTGTTGGTAAGAAGCTAGATATTCTCAAGCTATGAAATACTGTTACCTACATGAATAATTATCTATATATAGGTTTGGGGTTTCCCTGATGCCTAGTAGGTGACCAATTACTGACCAGCAACCTTCTGACTCCAACTTGCAGCCAACTCACTTGTCCCATCCCACTAAAAGTGAAAGTTCACTGGGTACATCTCCCCTATCCTAACACAGGCTGAAACTTAAGTACCTTCTCATGTGCCAGTATCTATGTCTAGTGGCTTCCTGGAATGCTGTGAGGCAAAGAATTCCAAAGCCACGTCCAGCTCAAAAGGCACCTGAGCCAGGAAGTCACAGTCTTCAGGGAAGCAAAATTTGAGGCGCTGAGTTGCTCTGCTGTCTTGGTCTTCACATCTGTCTGTCTGTCTTTCCTTTTCCTCAGACTCAGTTCAGGGTCTGCCATGAAATCAGCACCTTCTGAGAAGGTGCAGTTGCACAGACACTTAATTCACTATGTATGTGTGATCTGTGCTACGCCCGGTTTCTTCTTGTCTTTCTTGTGCACACAGCCCCCACTCTCATTTGGGAACCTATTTGCCACCTGTTTTCAGTCTGTGTTCCATGAAGGATGACTCTGTATCCATGTGATTCAGGTCACTTCCTTTCTCAAGAACTGGCTTTTATGACCTATCCAGGCCAATGACATAACTTCGGATTTGTTTATAAGATATTCATGAGAGAGTCACTCTTACTGTTTTTTGATTGGAAGCTAAGAACCATCTTGCTATCACAGGGAATAGAGATTTTTAAGCTGTCAACAACAAAAAAATATATAAAAGACCAAGTCAAAATATAACAATGACAACAGTGAAAGCTGCACTTACTGAGCCCCAAATCTGTCATTCTCATCAATGAATTCCCTCTTCCAATTAAGCTGTTTGAAGTTCCATCATGTATAACTAACACAGAGTCCCTGAGATTAACATTTACAAGGACCTGCTTTGATGCCTATCAACTGCAAAACTAATCCATCTGATGGCACATGAGAAAGGGCTTATTAGGTGACATTTGTGCTGTTGTTAGCAAATATCACAACCTGGCAACAAAAGCATAGCAATTTCAAAGCCAAGGTCTTGGAAAATGACTTCGATATGGATCTGGGCTTTGGTTTATATTACTGGCATCCTCCATGAGGACTAATATTTGTGGATGGGCTGTGTACTTGGTAAGTCCAGCAGCAGTTGTCCAACTGAGCCAGTAAGGGAAGTCTTGTGCCTGAGTCATCTGCAAAGGTGTGTGGTGAATATCTCCAAAGTGAGACAAGAGAAAGGGTGGCTGGATGGCACAGGATGGAACTCACAAGTCTTCCATACCTTGAACCTTTCCATGGGGATGGAAGATCATGGGGAAAGGCTGTACCTAGAGTCCAAAATGTGGTCCTCAGAATGGATTGTTTACAAAAGTGTCTACCCGTGCTGCATTTTGGCAGCAGCTGCATTGCATTGTTTGAACATTAGATAAAATATTGCCTGGAGCTGGGGCATATCAGTGTAGCACAAGCTTTGTACGGGCAAAGTCTTGCTTGAACCCCAGCACTTAAAAAATTACCCAAAGGAATATGTCCAGTGGCATGTTCCTTGCTTAATGAGTATCTCTGGCATTATTAACCTTGGGTGACACAAAGATATAATAGAATATTGGCCTCAACTTGATTCTCTTCACTTTAGGTTGATATTTTTCTTAACTAAAAATAGTGGCTTCCTGTTTCCTTAAGAGGGCTCAGAGGACCTCTTCAGCATCACTGTTGAAATACTGACTTCAGCTCCAGGAAAATGAGTTGCTTTTCCACTGAGTTGCTGTTGGAAGGAAAACTCTTTCCAAGCAATGACCCCACAGCAACCTGCAGCCAAAGGTCGCCCAAGCAACCAAAAAGGAAAATCTGCATCTCTCCCCCTCCTCCTTCCCTCCTCTCTTCCCCCCTCCTTCCCCTCCTGCTCCCCCTTTTCCTGCCTTCCCCCTCTCCTCCTCCCTCTCCCTCTCTCTCCCTTTTTAGTTCTGAGCTATGAACACACAAGTACAAGGGAAGAAGCAAATCAATTCTGAATAGACTTTGCTCTTCAGGATAAGTTCAAAGGTATCAAAAGTCAGCCTCTGGGGGTGGAGGGAAAATACTTTCTACTCTGCCGCCAAAAAAGTTCAAAGTCTGAGGGCTCCATGGAAATTCAAAGGTGAGAAGCAAGCAGGAAGTTGAAGAGTGTCCCTGACATTAGAAGCTCTGAATTTTTTTTTTTTCTCTGTAGGCAAATCAGATTCACACAGCTGTGCCTTTAGAACAATTAGACACACCTAGGAGATCACTAGGGGATGCCAAGAAAATGTTCCCAGGAGAAAAACAGTGAACATTCTGACATCATATGTGCTGATTGGCTTTTCAAATTCTGAGGCTTTTTCACACAGATTTTCCTCAGATAAAAATGTAAGCAGCTGAACCATATGCCTAAGTGTTTTCTGTCTGCCATTCCTCAGAGCAGCTGGCAAAACATGATCTATGGCTGATAAAACCACCCTGACAAACCATTTCAGTGGGATCTGCAGGATAGGGTCTGAAAGCTATCTGAATTTTAAAAGGTACTAATTGCTCAAAGAGTGGAATAATTTCTCTGAAACCTAACCCAGTACCATAACAGGACTTGAAGATACTGAGAATCTCAGAGAGAAAGCTTGCTTTCTAATGGCTGCTGATCAAAAGGGAAAATGTGCCCTTTAAGAACAGGAGGTTGTGAAACAGTGCTCAGATGGGGCCTTTTCTGGCATCAAGGGAGTCCCAAAAATGGTCCCCTAATCCTGACTTCAGCAACCTGGCCAAAAAAAAAAAAAAAAAAACAGTGAAAGTCTATTGCTAAAGAACAATTGGAAGTGAGGTACTGGTCTCCATGCAAACCTCTGCCATCTCAGTTCAGTCTTTCCAGACAGGACCCAAGGGTGTAGCTTGACCTTCCACAGAGAGCTCCCACTACACAATGGGCCCCAGTCCTCTTCTTTGGCTCAAGTCATCAACAGCTGTCTGGCAATAATTTTTCAAACATACGAAATCCTGTTACTGGCAGGGAACATAATCAAGTGAGGACTAAAACGGTCAGGTGGCATTTGATCCAGTTGAGACCTGGGGACTTTGGCCCCAGTCACTGTTTTCATACAGCCTCAGTGACTCCATCCTGAGGGAGCATCTGGATTCACCAGTGATCATTTTTCATACATATTTTTATCTAAAAAACTTGAAAATTGGGTTGGGGATATAGCACAGCAACATAAGTGCCTGCCCTGCAAGCACAAGATCCTGAGTTCAATTCCCAGTACCCCTCCACTCCAAAACAAACTTGAAAATTGAAGACAAGCAAGCTACTAGGTAATTAACACTCCAAATACATCAGACCAGGTTCCTTAGCTCTGGATTTCCATTGCCAGTGGCTTTTGGGACATGAATAGATGAACTAAATCAAATGAGGATGGATAGCTCCAGGCTAGCTATTCTGTGTCCCCAATGCACAATTAACATATTACTGCTGTTGGCAAAAATATGGTATAAATAAATAACAACATGAAAACATCCCAAGGTTGCTCAGTATGAACACAAAACATGTTAGTCTCTGGCAACATCTCCAAGAATCAATTGAGTAGAAAATATCCTGCAGAAATGGGGTGCTCTTGAAGTAACAGAGAAGGGTAGTGATTTTACAAAATACAGCAGGGAGCCCAGGATCCCATTACTCTCTCCTCCGTTCCCTTCCTCTCTGCCTTTCCTTCTACAGAGACAGAAATGCACAGCCAAAAAGTCATCCTTGTCACCAAGATTTCTAAACAGAGAGTATGATTTGCAGATGAATCATGGCTGTGTGACCCACAGCTCTCAGAACTCAGGTGGGAGCTGCTCTCAGATGGCAGTGGTCTCATTACCGACTTGACAAGACAGCAAGCACGTCTTCTCCAGGAGATAAAGCAGTGTTCCTTGCACTTCATAGGGCACATTAAATCCCTTTGAGCTTATTTACCAACTTGAAGATGGTGCCATTCTCCGTGAGCAGAAGACTCAAAGAGGGATTATGCTAATCACTTATCCTCCTGGTCACTGATGGCAGAAGGAGGGCCAGTCACATGGAATCTACTCAGCAGATGCTCTTTCTGCCTGAAAATTATGCTGGAATTCAGTTAGCTCAAGTGGAGTTTTTATTTGGCGGTCTTTGATAGTGTGCATTTGTTTGGGGATCGAGAAAATATTATTGTCATTTTTACAGCTATGTGTTACAGCTATCTGGGAGTTTTTGGCTCCCTTATTGTTTAATAAGCATCGACTATGTGCCAGTTGATGGGCTTAGCCTATCTGTGTACATTATTTCATTTAAAGACAACAATCATTTTTTAAAGTAGATAACTTATCTCATTTTATAATTGATAATGCTAAGAAAGTAAGTTACTTACTGAAAGCCATTTAACACAATAAATGACTGAAAAATTGCAAATTGTATATACCTCCAATCTCTAAGTCTCTATCCCAGAGCTACTTCCCCAAGATTATATCTTTGCTCAATGTATGTGAGCCAGGATCAATGGGTCTATGATCAATTCCCACATAACATGTCTGCAATATTCCCATGTATTAGAAAAACGTGATCGTCAGTGTTTGCTCAGCTTGTAATAAAAAGCCTGCCACTCCTCCTAACCACTTTGCTGGGAGTACAAGGACACCAGGAGTGTTTCTTTCCCCCTCTGTGAAAATCCGCAATTGAACCTCAGAGCATAAACCATGACCAGCACAAAGGGCTGAAAGCTTGGTAGTCAGTTCTATGCATCTTCTGGTTCTGCATGGTCAGATTCAATCAATGCTGGTCAAAATATTATGAAAAACTGTGTTTGTATTGAACGTGCAATTTTTATTATAATTTCATAAAATATAATGCAGCAACTATTTACATGGCATTTACATTGTATCAGGTATTATAAATAATCTAGAGCTAATTTAAAGTACATGGGAGGGTGTGCACAGATTATATGGAAATACTACACCATTTAAAATAAGGAACTGGAACATCTGAGAATTTTGTCATGTGCAGAGCATTTTGCAGCAATGCACACTGGGGAATGACTGTGTTTAGAAGTTACTAAAATAAGAAACTTGCATGTGGTAATCAAAGCGCCCTGTGCTACCAGCACCCTGGCATCCAGTGCCTATCTTCCTACCTGGCCTCTTGAACAAGAGATAATGATTAAAATAAATAGTTTTTCTACATCTTAAAAGGGCATAGTATGGGATCCCTGAAGAGGATAAAGCCAAAAACTAGCATACATTTCTAGATTATACATAAATGTATGCATTCTGGCTAGTGCAGGAATTCATACATAAAGAGAACTATACTGAAGAATACAGGTTCTCAAAATGAGAACAAGCTGACCACACAGCTATTTCTGCCACCTGTATTTGTCTTACTGCAGCAGATCAACATGGCCCATCATGGTGGGAGAAACTGATTATATAATCATTTATCCAGACTTCATCACAAAGGAATCTGTTCAGCTTTCCACAAATCCACATTTCCAAATTTTGTGTGGCATTTGGTCCACAATAAAATCACTGTTCTTTCAAAAGGAGCATTAGAGACAGTCAATATCAAGGGTCACTAATGCATAGGGGCACTTCTCTGACTTTCCCACCAAAATCTCCCAAGGCTAGGAAGAGTTAGCACATCACTGGATAAATAGTCCAAAGAGTTTCAGTAAATGAACAATGGAAGTTTTATGCTGAATCTTAAAACTTACAGAAATTTATATTTTTGCCCATAAGAAGCCCACACATTTCAACATAAAAATAACTTTTTATATTACTCTTTACTAAAAGATAAAGTGTTAAAAGGATCACATTGCTGCAGTTTCTGATAATAAAATAAATGGAATTTAATGTCCTTGGGTCTTAAAAATCAAGGCAAAAGATGAGCATTAGATGAAATGAAGAGCTCTACCTTAGCCAATGGAAAGGCAGGGTTAAGTGCATTCTAAATTGGCATCAAACCCCAGTCTGCCCGAATTTATCAAGTCTGCAAATAAATGTGCTTTGTGTCCCAGGTACTTAAGCAACGCAGCCACCAGTTCATGAAAAGGAACTTATCACGGGGCTCCTGCAGAGTTTCTTTGTTGGAAGCCCTCCTGGTGTATGTGAGGAGGCTGACTGGGGACACTGTTGCACTGACCTGGCCTGGAAATCCTGAGGGTACCTTCTTTCTCCCGTCAAAGGGGCCGGGAAGAAAAGCATCCTACACGTTCTTTCACCACCGTGGCTTTACAGAACGAGTCGTGCTCCTGCCTGGGCACTAGAGCGAAGAAGGTGTGGCCTCCCTGGTGAGGTCCTGTGACTCAGTGTGAACTGTGTTGGTAGGCTTTATCTGGCCATCTATGCGTGTCTGAGAGGACGGTTGCCATGGCACCAGGTCTGTGAGCAGTGAGTGAGGTATGTGGTACCAGGCAGGACTGGAAGGACCTCTAAGAAATTCCAGAAGGTACTGAAAGGAAAGTGTGAGCCGGAGTGACCCTGAGGGACAGTGGAGAGAGGACAGACAGTACAGGGATGAGGAGAGAATATTCTGGAAGTTTTGTGAGGTTGCATCAGCAGTAGTGCTGTTCCTAAAGCCCAGTCATAAAGAAAGCCTCAGCCTCCTTCCCTTTTTGGACCTGCCTAGGCCATCATGGCTGCCTTTGACTCTCAGCTTGAGGTCCCTGCTTTCGCTTGTCTATATCTGCCTGCCCATCATGGACTCCATGCCTGTCCCACTCAGCCTCACCACACATGACACCACCTGCTCCACTACTCTCCAAGGACTCCATGAGATGCTCGCCGTGGTACATGTGTCTGCACAAGGTTCTGCAGAGCCATGGATATGCGTATGTCAGGTGCCTCCTGGGGGGCAGCAGGTCAGCCCTAGGGAAGAAAGCAGAGACAGAACAGAGCATCCAAACATAATCAAGTTAAAATAATACTTACAATACGGGGGGAAGGAAAGCATCTACGCAGGAGCTCAATCTGTTTCCTGCCAATATAAGAGCAGGAAGAGAACTCCAGAGCAGGGGAAAAGAGGCCATTTCACTGTCAAGAGGTCAGCAACCCAGTGACTTCAGAGCAAATTAAACCTTCAGACCTGGCACCCAGCAGAGCCTGAGAGAATTCGGCATAGATAAGAGTTGGGTTTTGACTCTTTTGGGGCTTTCCCTCTGCAGGGCAGAGGAAATGGCATTCAAGATCCAGAAGCGTGATGACGGCTAATATTTACATGACACAAGTCACACACGGGTGGTCTTGCAAGTGCTTCCCATGTTTCAACTCAAAGCACATGACTACTGTCCCTGAGGGCATCTTCTGCTCACCCCACTTACAGAGTGGGACTTGAGCCCAGAGAGGCCAATGGCCTGCCTAAGGTCACAGAGTAAGTGCAGGAGCCAGGATTTAAACATGGCCATTCTGACCTAGACCCCACCCTCTCTCCCACTTCTCCAAGATCGTAGTACTTGGGTGTGTGTTTACATTTATGCTCAGTAATAGTGCCTCAAAAACAGTGTTGCCTGTTAAAACAAGAACAAGTGGACGGAAGGACATTTCAAGTAGGTTTTAGAAAAGTGAGCTGCATGTGTCAGGCATGGATGGTCAGCAAAATAGAAAGAGCAGGCACTCAGAGACTGGCCGCTGGGGGCTCCCTGACTTTCCTTTGCTCTTTAGTAGATCCTGAGAGTTGGCTAAGTAGAGGTAGGGTTTCCAGGGGATGTCATTGTCACCTTATAGCCCCTTCTCATGACTTAAAAATTCTCCAAGTACACCAAAGTGTTTAAAAGATTCAAGCTAGAGCTAAAGACCACAAAGCTGCCCCATTGTTACCTCAGAAGTTGTTAACAGAGGACATAGCACTCAGAGAGACCAGAGTTGGGGGCTGTTCAGTCAGTGAATGCTCACAGGGATCTATGACCTCTCTGCTTCCCCTACCTTGTGGATTTCTGCTCTTGCCCTTGAGGAGAAATCGCTGGGAAAGAGTTGCTCCCGGGTCTCCTGCCAAAGGCCTAACGTGCCACTGGGTCTAAAGCACAGCTCTTTATATACTAAGCTTCCCTTTATGAGGGAACACCTAAAAATTCCCAAAGTGAGTATTAAGCATATTACTAAAGAGGTCTACACAGCTCCTTAGGGGTAAATTCCTTGCTGGGGTGTGTGCAGGTGTCAAAAAAAAGTTTCCTTAAATTGAATCAAACCTGTTGGAGTAAATAAAACCCCTTGCTCATTGTTATAATGATTCCCTCCTGGATGCTACCACCAAGTTGACCAGTGGGGATCACTAAACACCTGTCCAAGAGGGAGGTTCGGTGTTTTAGCCCTGGGTTTTAAATTTCAGTTTCTGCAAGTGAAAGCAGACACTGTTTTTGATAAATGTCTCTGATAAAACCACATAAGTTTTGTGCTGGGCTTTCTGTGGCCATTTTGCTACTCCCTTCCTGTTGGCAGCCCTAGTGCAGAGCAGAATGTCCTAGCTCTCCGGGCTATGTCCTCAAGCTGTGGTGTAAGCAGAGACCGATGTGTTTCAAAAACTCACAGGAAATGTGACAAATGAGATCGTGGCAGCATAGGCAAGAGGGTTCCTTCACAAGTGACAAGTGAGATGTGTCTTGGTTACTTTCAAAATATCCAACACCCAAAATTAAGGAAAGAAAGGTTTATTTAGCTCACAATCTGTGAATATTTAGTCCATAACCAGCTGGCTCCAGGGCAGGGTGGCTCATGGCAGAAGATAATAGTTCATGGCAATAGAAAACAGCACAAGCAACAAGAGTGAAAAAGAGAGGAGCCTGAGACAAGATTATTGCTGTCCCTCATACTGTGTGTAGGCTACATACCCCAGGGCGGGTGTAGCCCTCACACCCATAATCCCCGCATTGGACCATCAATCAATCACAAACTGTAACAGCCTGCCCCTGGGACTGCTTGAGGCTTTGGGGGGACACCAAGACTCAAATCATAAAGAGACCCAACTCAAAATTCTATTTCAAAGTTATTCATAAACTCATGTGTTCCAGCGCATTCTCTCAGTGGCAGATAAAGAAATTACAGCCGATGAAAGAAACTTCTTACCTTCAATATACGACCACAGGCCACCCTACATCCATTAGGACAACAGTATATAACAACCAGTAAAAGAAGCAGAAAATAACAAATACTGGTGAGAATAAGAACTCAGAACACTTCTGTGATATGTGTATGAATGTAAAATTGTGCCATTGATGAAGACACAAGTTCCCTACAAAGCAGAAAATGATCTAAATAATCCAAGATTCCACTTCTTGGTACACACTAGAGATACCTGAAACAAAGTCATTAGGAGATATTTGTATCAGTATTTGGAGCACTATCATTTATTATCTATAGGCAAAAGGTGGAAGTACCTCAAATTTCCATCAATGGATGAAGGAATTAAAAAAAATGTGTACATACATGTAATGGAATATTTATTATTCATCTCTGAAAAGAAAGAAAACTCCAACACAAAGTACAACATAGATGAAAGCTGAACACATAAGAATGAGCGAAACCGTAAGTACTGTAAGAGAATAGTTACGTAAAGACAGACAGAAAATACGGGAGTCTTGAAAGGGGTTGGATACAATGAAGAATTGCTGTTTAACGGCTACAGAGTTTCATTTTCAAGAGACGAGAGTCCTAGAGTCTGGTTGTGAATGTTATTTTACTATTAAACTATGTAATCAACAACTGTTGTGATGGCAAGTTTTATGTTGTGCATATTTTACCACGTTTAAAAATTCTTAAACATTTTAAAGATGTGACCATGGGAATGAGAGTGCTGCACACCAAGTATCACAGAGCACACATGCACAGTGGAAAAGCAGTGTCAGACAATGGGTTACAGGCAAGCCGCAGGACACGACTAAGACCCCTTCTTCTCCCCACCCTCCTTTCCCGTCATCTTTTCCTTGTGGCCGTGTGCATTTGTCACCAAGGCCTATTGTTTGCTGAGTCTCGTTAGTTTATTCTTTCACTTCTGCTCATTTTATCTCCATCGCCTCAGCCTCCTCTTCTTCACTCATCTCCTTGATTCTGATGTATCTTCCCGTCCAGTTATTTCATCTGCTACTTCCACTCCAGTATTTCCAAAAGATCTATTTCCCCATGTCACTAGTCTGCGCAGTAATATATAGTCATTTCTCCTTAGTTACTGCGTCAGAACTTTACCAGTAAATCTTGTTTTCCATTGTTTTCCTCCAAAATTTCATCTCTAGCTAGGTCAGACTTTCTATCCACCCCTCCTCTCTGTGTTGTGCAAAATCTTCTCATTCAGAACACAAAAGAGTCAAATGTTGCTTGCAGAGGCCAAATTGATGTCTGGTGTTTACTGTGGTTTGTGGGAGAAATAGAGCACCATCATGGCACTGGTGAAACCAGGCACTTTGGGAACCTATTAGATCTTCTTTTGCTTCTCCATATTTTTTATAACTTTTTCTACAATAAAAAGAATAAAACCAAACAGAATAAAAACAAAACAGTGTAAATGACACAGAATTTCAAAACAAGAGACTAGGAAATCAACAATGGTTACCATAATGTCTCTTGTTGTCTTCAAAATAGCTGCCCATACTTCAGACATGGTAAAATCAAACAAAATAGAACCAATAAAAATAAAAGAATGAACACAATAAAAGACTTCAAAACAAGGCAATAGTAAATCCAAAAATGGCTACCATAACAGCTGCCTGTGCCATCAGTTACAACAAAATCAAATAGGACAAAACAGAATAAAACAAAACCAAACAAAACAGTGAAAATGATCCAGGACTTGTTTTAAAATAAGATGATAGGAATTAACAATGGCCGCCACCCTCAGAAGGAGACCCCCATAGATGATACCCTGTATATTGTCGTCCTCCAAATACACATTCGGACCACTGGCTTTAAGCCTGCAAAGTCAGTGAAACACTGAACACTACAAGCATCAAGTTGTGTTTTCTTCCATAGCTATCATCTCCGCCTGGACTTCTCTGGATCAGCTGGTCACTTATGAGGGGGAGGGGACCCTGGCCCTTGTCTCCCAGCCCAACTGCCAGAAGGGGCTGGCATCTGATCTTCGTTCACACAGGCCACACCTGGTGCCAACTCACAGGAAGTAGCTGGCTTCTTCTCCGTATGGCCCACGAATGGTGCTCACTCATAGGGAGAGGCTGGTGTCTGGTTCTCCTCCCTGTGGCCTGTGAATCTCTTCTCCCCGACTGAAGCTTCTCATCTTTCCAGAAGATCTTGGTGAGCACTGTGAGGCTTGGTGTTTTCTGTCTTTTCTCTGCCTCAGCTGCAGGAAGGAAGCTCTAACTAGAACACACCAAGTACAGGCTTACTGACCACCCAAAGTCCTTCCTAAATGAATTCATTTAGCTGGACCTCACCTCTCCAGCCAGCCTAAAGACGGTTTTAAAGACTAAGGACCAGATCTTCTGTATCTTTGGCTTTCACCACTTCACTGTGCCCAAAGCTGGATGTGTTGCAAGTGCTCGATAAACATCACCACCTGCCGATCTGGAAGCAGTACCCTCAGCTCTTGACAGAGATCTGGAGGGCTGTGGATAGACAGTATTCTGTGCTGATCCTCCTAGAAAACAAGGAACTCCAAGGGGAAATGGCCCTTCCAGGAACCATCTCATCTCTCCTTTTACTGTCATATACTTTTCCAAAATTTCTGCTTTCAGCCTTGAGAACTGACCAACATGGGCTTAAGATAACCAGGCTTTCTAGAATTTTGCATCAGAACTGAACCATGAGTGAAAATATTCTAAGAATTTACTTCTTTTTCCTATCATATTTTCCTTGTCCCAAAGTGGACTAAATGGAGATCCCCTAGCCACCCAGGCATGCAAAGTTTATTGTCCTATAAAACTCCA